ATCAAGCAACTACTTCTTCATTTACTTCTTCTGATCAAGCAACTACTTCTTCATTCATTTCTTCTGATCAAGCAACTACTTCTTCATTTACTTCTTCTCATCAAGCAATTGCTACATTGAATCGAATTATAGAAAAAACACAATCAATTAATAATGTTATTGAAGATTTGGACAATGATGAAGATGAAGAATATTGCCCACCCGAATCAACTTCTACCTCATCAACACCTGTTTCATCTAATAAACAACAAAAATCTAAATCAAATAAAATATTAATTACAAAAGATCATCAATCAATTCTGTTACAACAAGAGAAAAAAAGAAAGAGAAAATCTTCGACTATCATTGGTTTCGACACGTCAGAAGATGACGGTAATATTGTTAGTTATGTTATCACTATCGTAGATTAAACTTTTTCTGGATGATGAAAATTTGGATTTATCAATGTCAACATCTCAACAATCATTCAAAACGAAACACGAGCTTCAAACAAAAAAAGCCTTACCATCAAAACATCATCAAGCAATGTCGTCTGAAGAACAGAAAAAAAGTATGAAGCTAGCTTTCAAAACCGTTGGTTTCGATACATCAGATGAAGATGGTAATATTGATACATATATTATTACTATCGTAAACGAACTTTTTTTCAATAGATGTAGTACCAAATTCATCAATATCCAATCCTCAAAAATCACTTCAAGCAATTACAGATGCGATACAAACTGTTTTTAGTACACCATCAAATAAAACACCAAAACAATGTTCACAAACGAGCAGTACTGAATAGATCTAATGGACAAATTATTACAGAAAAAATTGTGATTGAACAGCTCGAAGAACGAAAAAATAAACAAAAGTCCAAACAATCACATTCAAATAGTCGAACGACGAATGGAAAAAAATGAAAAAAACAAGGAAAAAATGGTATGATAAATGAAAACCTTAATAACATGGGTATTTTCAAAAGGATGAGTTCTTAGAACGATGAACTAAACTAGTTATACCATTTTTTTTAAAAATATTGATAATCATAGTCTCAGTATGGTTTACACATTCTAGATTCATCAATCACATTTGGTATAAATAGTACTATAACAAGTCGATCAGCAAGTCCACTAATTGTTCTAACAGAGTCTTCAATTTCCTTCGATTAATCATAATCTTCAATTAAATATGGTATGTTGGTAGATTTATACTTCAATACAACCAGATAAAAACACATTTTAGTAGTTTTGTCAAATTACAGTTTTTCAGGTTGTTGTATATTCATAGGTGGCATCTAAATCCATTTTCGATTGAAATTCAATTAGTCTTAATCGTTTAATATAACTGAATAACAAGATATTATACATTTACCATATGTTCCAAAATCAATACAAAAACTTTTTCAATAATTATGTTTTTATGATTTCAACTCCTTCACAATCCTCGAAAAACTTTTCATAATGTCCCTCAATTGTCGATACTCGATTTTATTTCACTCATCTCATTCAATATTCGATACTGCTTTGCTTATTGATCACACGATATTCTGTTAATGTTTGTTTACTATTACTTATGCTTTTACTTTCATTCTCATCAAAAATTTACTTCAGTGTTTATATATTATGATTTATGCCATTTTTTATGATTAACTCGATTTTTAAAATTTTCTTTATCATATAGTAGAAAATGATATGTTATTGATATTTATCTTATTCATTGTAATTTTAGGTGATTTATCATATTCTTTATAGGCAAAGTTGAATAAAATAAAGATTATTTTATATAACGAAGTCTAATCGAATCAATAAATAGTAGCGAAATTCAACAATGAATATGATGTTCAGTACTATTTTTCACTTCATCTTTTTGTAGTCTAGATACTTCTAAATCTGAAAGACCAGATTAATCTTTCTCCATCATCTTCTCTAAATCTGAAACAAGTTAGGAAAGATTGAGTAGATAAGGTTAGAAACGTTCACTTTGTCCCGGTTAGAACAATCCGAATTACCTAAGATAGAAAATAAGACTGATCCGAATTACCCCAAATACAGTTTTACATGATTTAGGGTGATCTCTGAGTTTATATTCAGTGTCTTATAATAGTTTGTTCATTCACTGAAATATTTTCAGGTCCCACAGATAAGACTTTGGGCTATCGAATAATATGTTTTTTTTCATATGAAAATGGATAAAAAAAAAGTTATGAGTTGGGGAAAAATGTTCCAGCTATTTTTGCTGGAGTGATCGGAATTACCCGGACAAGATTGTATGACTGATCCGAATTACCCCAAATGGGGTAATTCAGATCAGCTCGCCATGACCTTCGCCATTTTTGCTGATACTTTTTTCTAATACATTATTTTTTGGAGATTCTTTCATCAATAGTTAGAGGAGAGTTTGTTCTACTTGTGGTCCAAAATTCAAACCTCTATTGCATAAAATGAATGAGAACGAAAAAAAATAAGATACAATTTTTTATTTTTGATCCGAATTACCCCGAACGACTCTATTTAGTTTTGTAATAAATTGTTTATGTATTGAAATAAATTTGAAAAATGAATGAGACGTAAATTTTTGGGGAATCTGGCAATAAGGATACCATTAGTATTCTTGAATTTTTTTCCAAGAAACAAATACAATTCAAAACTTATATAGAGAGAGTTATAGAGAATTCTACGGACTATCCGAACATATAATTACTTTTCTCAAAATGTCAATTTATAGTAACAATATATTGAAAATACCGAGTCTAACTATTTTTTTTCAGGGGTATATATGATCATCAATTTTATAAATCTTAAAATATTTCTCTCATTAACTTACAATTTTCAACCCATTATTGAAATTAGCAATTAAATACTATTTATTGTTCTGATTTAACGCCAGTTTTCGAAACATCATTTTTTGTGAAACACGACCTGAAAGGAGTGTTGAACTGTTTAGGGGTAGAAATTTGGACGCCCTCCTCTCCTCCACAGGCCGTGATAGGAGTTGGTGGGGAATTTGAATTTGCGACAAATTCAAAATGCTTATACCGCTATACCGCTATAGCGGTATAGTGGTATAGCGGTCCCAGATCTCGCTGACCGACAGAGAGAGTGGGGGGGGGGGGGGGAAAAAGAGCAAAACTTTCCCCCCCTCGCCCACACTTTCTCTCCCCCCCCTCACCCACACTTTTTCTCTCCCTCCTCACCCACACTTTCTCTCTCCCCCACAGCCACAACCCCACATCCACCCACACCCACACCCCACAGCCACAACCCCACATCCACCCACACCCCACACCCCACAGCCACAACCCCACATCCACCCACACCCACACCCAACAGCC